GCTGTAAACTTGGGATTTCACATTTTCATTCTCTTAAACTAATTATTTCCTCACTTTCTCTCTTTCTGCAACTTGTGTGAATGCATGTGTTCATGTGTTAGATTAGTTTATATGTCTTAGATTTATCCAATAAAGCCTTATTTATATTGAAAAGAGAAGTATCTTTTGTTTTGTTCTCACAAGTTAATGTCTTAAACTGCCGATCTTGACACTGTGCTAATTAATAGTGTTTTCACTATATTTTGGATATAAATATCCATTGCAGAATTGATGTCATGCGGCTCGTTCACTGAATCGCTGGCCGTCTCAGTGAACAGCCGTAAAACAGTGATTCTGTCCAAATTTGCTTACATATTATTGGTGGAGTTCCCTTTAAAATCTTAAATAATTCCCTTTGAGCTAAATTATCACAGTTTCCCTTACAGTATGATTTGTTCACGAACCAGACATCACTCCGGACCATTTGCCAGACTAAGGCTATGGATTACACATTATAATGTTGATGATTTTAAACAAAAATTGAGTCTCTCTACCTTTTTGAATTTGCACCTTATTAATGTAATGAAGCAGCTGAAAGCTACACCTGTTAAAGCGCTTGGTCCAGATGACATCTGTGGGAGAACACTTAAACATTGTACGGAGCAGCTCAGTGTTGTGTTTCACTCACTAATGTTTCAGGAGGCATCCCTGGATCAAGCTGTAGTTCCTTGCTTATGGAAAACGGCTGACATAATACCCATTCCTAAGCGAGAGAAGTCACATTCTTTTATCGATTTTCGGCCATTGCATTAACTTCTTTAGCCATGAAAGCCTTAGAGAGGTAGGTTAAGTAGCAACTTATCACAGTTAAGGGTCATCAGTTAGATTCTTTGCAGTTTGCATATCGCACTAAAAGAGGTGGATGATGCAAAGCTTTTCCTCCTAAATACCATATCAACACTTAGAGAGCGGAGGCACATTTGCTAGAATGTTGTTTGTTGATTTTTAACACAATGAACGTCTCAGGTTACTTATGTAACCATGGTTCCCTGAGTAGGGAACGAGGCACTGCGTCCTCTAGGGGTCGCTATGGGTAACGCCTCATCGTGACCCGTGTCTGAAGCATACATTGAAAAAACACCAACTCGTTGGCCGGCGACAGCCATGACATCACTACCGGTGCGACTATAGTATAAATAGGCGCCGGGAGCACACATCATTCACTTCTTCGTCTGAAGCTTGTGTCCGCAGCATGGCAAGAAATCTAGAGGACGCAGTGTCTCGTTCCCTATTCAGGGAACCATGGTTACATAAGTAACCTGAGACGTTCCCTTTCATGGGAACTTCGAACTGCATCCTCTAGGGATCGCTATGGGGAACGGTATACCCACGCCACCATGCTGAGGGGAGTGCATGCCAGAAACCATGACGAGCACTAAGTACCAACTCTACCATACTGCCATGGGAGTTGCCCCTGGGACGTTAGACGGCTGTCAGTGACATTATTCCCTACGGCCAAAGGCCTAGGCTACATACCCCAAAAAACTTACCTGTTAGGGCCAGAACTCCTGGGCCCGGGGTAGAGCTCAAGGCTTGGAATCAGGAATAGATTCCTTTAAGGGAATACGACCAAGAGCCTAGAATCATACTAGTCTTGGCCTGTCACACAGGGGCTACCGCACGTTTCTCTTTGTATGTGCTGAAGGAACTGTCTCAACAGATCCCTAGTAGCAACACCCTGTTAAAGTAGGTATCCAGAGGATACATAAGAGTGGTGGTGCCCAAGGCGGAACCGGGGTTTTAAACCACTCAGAAATAGCACCATTCCCTTCTGTGCCTCAGCAGTGGCGGGTCCTGAATAGCGGGAAGCAGATGGCTGCCCCTCTTTCCTCGAAAAGAGAGACAATTGAGAGTGGAGATTTTTCCCTTGGAAAAAACACTCGCAGTGTACGCCGATTGCCCCCTCGGAGGCATCGCGTGCGTGCTCTTCGACCAAACAAATAACGCATAGATCGTGTGTGTCATCAGATGTTAAACAACGTCAACACGGATGCACACATCCTTAAACGCTTTGCTAGTGCTCGCCATAATGAGATGAATAGAGATCGCTCTTACCACAGAAATGCACGCTTCAAACAAAAGTCAATGAAGACGAAGAAGAGAATGATGTGTGCTCCCGGCGCCTATTTATACCAGTAGTGACATCATGGCTGTCACCGGCCAACGAGTTGGTGTTTTTTCAATGTATGCTTCAGACATGGGTCACGACGAGGCGTTCCCAATAGCGACCCCTAGAGGACGCAGTTCGAAGTTCCCATGAAAGGGAATCCAATCATCTTAGCGAAGAAACTTGTATGTGAATTTGATGTGAGTCACAGTTTGGTTTTATGGATCTTAGATTTTTTTAACATGTAGGCAGCAATGAGTCATGTTGAATGGAGTGTTGTCAGATACACTTTCTACGTCAACTGGATCTCCTCAGGGATGCATAGGCCTACTCTCTTCAATTCTCTTTATACACTATACAAATGAATGTCGCAGCACTAAGGATAATTGTCATGTAGTTAAATATGCTGATGACAGTTTTTCTATCCTTGTCCTTCTGACATTTGCTGCTGGCTCTGATGTCACTTTAGTGGTTAAGATATGATTAATTTTGGGTAAATCTAACAGGTAATCTTTGGTCTTTATTCTATTAATATGTTCAAATTAAAATAAAAAGAGGAAATACTGTTTGATATATTTCGTTTCATTGTAATGTAGGCTATATACATTACCTGAACTACATTTCTGCGGCTATTAATGTTTAAATGAAAACGAAAGGAGGCAGTGGTGTTTGATATCATATTTCGTCTTATTGTAAATACAGTGAGGAAAATTGTAGTAGCCAAGGCGAGCTGACTGACATTATCAAGTACGCTGCTGTTTGCAGAATTACCGGACTTGCGTCGTCCCGTCCGCGGGAGTTCACACTCCCGAGTCGAATTTGTGAAATCCGAACTACCGAGGATGCAAGTCCGAAATTTGCGTACTTGGTATTGAGAAACACGCGCAGACCTACGTCACCAGACTGTTTGCCTAATCGTCTCGGTACCCAGCAAGCCATCCCTGACCAAACCCGGAAAACAGGTCTCATCGCTTCCGCTTGTCGGAGAACGTGTTAACAGCCGTATTAAATAATAGTGATATCTATGGATTTTTTTAGATAATCATTTAAACTAGCTAGCTGTTTTTATTGTTGACGTTTTATTAAATTTTTATATCTCAACGTGAAAACTTTTAGATATCAATCCGCATATGTGATGGACATTGGTTATGATCATCATTGGTATCTACTTTGATCTACTACTCAAGACATCTTGAGTAAAACTGTTTCATATTTAATGAAGCATATGCAAAACGCTTGAACCGGAAGCAACGAGACCCGGTTAACAGAATACGGAAGTCTGTTGCGCGTAAGCCCTATAGCCATCATTTCAACGTCTCGGTTAAGTATAGACCCGATATAGTCCAGCTATGTGTAACCCACTTCTAGCCCAAATAACCTTGAATTTGGTTTCATGTTGTTTTTTGGCAAAATAACTTGTGAGATGTATGATATTCCATCATGTAAGCAAAGTTAACAGTTTACAAGGTGTTTGGATTCATTTCTTTGACATGTTCAATACGTAGCCTGTGTACAGCCACGATTTAGCCTGTAGTCAGAGCGTCTATCTGTAGCCCACTTATAGTCAAACCTGATTCACTGTAGTTTTTGGCCAGAGAGCACATGAGATGGTTTATCCCATCATGTTGGCAGTGTCAATAATATCTACAAAGATATAAGTGTTATTTCATGACATGATCTATATGTAGCCACGATTTAGCCTGTAGTCAGAGCGTCTATCTGTAGCCCACTTATAGTCAAACCTGATTCACTGTAGTTTTTGGCCAGAGAGCACATGAGATGGTTTATCCCATCATGTTGGCAGTGTCAATAATATCTACAAAGATATAAGTGTTATTTCATGACATGATCTATATGTAGCCACGATTTAGCCCTAAATTGGACAGGCTACGTGTAGTCTGCTTTTAGCCCACCTGGCGAAATCGTGGCAATCTGTGGTCTAATTTTAATAGCTTGGCTATATAGCCCTATACCAGTAACCAGACCAGCGATGAGCATAGCCAAAATAGCCTTAAAATTGTTTACATGTAATTTTCACCCACGCAGCTTCTTATCAAATGCAAGTAAACTTTTGAAACATTTAAATTAGCATTATTTTATATTTTAATTAATTATTTTACAACATTATTAAATATATCATTATTTATTATGCCAAAAATAATGCTAATTTAAATGTTTCAAAAGTTTACTTGCATTTGATAATATGATGTCATGCATCCCACAAGCTAAATGTTACATTCATACACATTATATGATATTATTGATATTCGGCTGTCTTTCATTTTATTAAAAAAAATGCAATTACAATTCCCAACCGCTAGATGGCAATTGTAGCCCTACTGAGACATGACTACTGGCAACAGAGTTAGTAAAGATCAGTGTTGTGTTTTGAATTTTGTTTTTACACGAGAGAGCACTAAGTTTAATGTACCTGTGGAAGAGCAGCGGGCAAACAACAAATGATAAAAGGACATTCCTACTTGGTCTTGTAAATATCTGTGTTTTCGTTTTGACGTGTTCATTATATATCTATATTAATTGTTATCACGTTTAGGAACCGTGACATTTTAGTGAAGGGAGCAGATGGTAGTTGATAGTGATCCGTGGACCGTGACTAGGCCCACGGTTCAGCACACGTGTTCAGAGGATTAATTGCAAAATTTAATAGAGTAAAAGTTTTATCATTTGTACGTTTACAAACTCAGTCGATTTTAAAACAGCGCAAGAAGAGGCGAAAGAGCAAACAACAGAACAAACACAGCTTTGACAAAGATTAACCCATATTAATTTATACAGTGAACACACTCAGAAGAATTGGAGAAACTGAGGAGGAGTTTCAACATCTGGAAAAGCGGTTGGAAAATGAAAAGATCCGTGCAGCAATGGTAAAAAAATAAATTAAATAAAAAACTCTCCAAAACAACATTTCCTCACTAAAGCTCTCATCTTTGACAAAGTCCATCATTTATTTTAATTATTATATTGAATTTATTACTGAACAATGGCTTGTTAGAAACAGAGAGAGCATGAGCTAATTGAATAGAATATCTTTATCATTGTACAAGTACAATAAGATTTTATTTTGAAACTTCCAAATTGATAGTAAAGCTTAAAAATACAAATGATTTAAAATGGCAATATAAAATTATCAATTATAAAAAGTTTGCAGCAGTATTAAAATAGTGCAAATAGCTCATATATGGAATGCAGCATTAAAACCTAAACAGTACAAACAGAAAACATAATGTAATAAAACGGTAGGGGTGAATTTATTATTCCATGTACATTTGAGGTTAATGTGTGTACTACTTTTTAGTTACAGCAGCTATCACTGTGTTGCTATGAAGTCAGTTGTGCCAGACAATTTTGGAGGCAGAGACAGATTGTGGGGGTCACTATAGGGAAAAACTTAAACTGCTGGAATAAATAGTTTTTAAGGGTTAGTGATGGGGAACTTGCAGGAAAATGGGCTTCATTGTTTAAGGTTGGTAAACACTTGTACATGGACTAGGGATGGGCATTCGATTAAATTTTCTTAGTCGATCGTCAGGAGAATTAACGATCGACTATCGATTAATCATTAATATTTTTATAATAAAATTAATTATTTAACTTTTATAATTCAAAAATGCAATGAATACAAAAATACAGCGTGTTTTTCCTCGATGAGACCTTTATTACAAGATCAACTTGTGGCAGACAGTTAAACTACGTTCAGTTAGGCAAACCGAACATA